AGAGCAGAGATGCAATTAAGAAAACAATTGAAGTATCTCAACATATGTCCCTTCCTCAGTATTCCATCAGATGGAAATTTTGCACAGAGGCCCAGCATGGCTTCTCTGCAGCTGATCCGTGCTGCAGAAGGGAGAGAATTCATAGCTTTGGAATTCTCTTTAAGTAAAAGAATGATCATACCTCTTTTAATAGGTCTTTATTCTAGTGTTCAGTGCTGGCATGATCTGTTTTTAAATCTGTGTTTTGACTACTGGTGGGAATTCGAGCTGGTGCAGCCACTTTGGAAAACAATATGGAGGTTCCTCAAAAAGTTGAGGATAGAGTTATTCTACCAACCAGCGATTGCACTACTGGGTGTTTACCCCAAAGATAAAGATGTAGTGATCTGAAGGGACACCTGCACCCCAGTGTTGATAGCATCAATGTCCACAATAGCTAACCTATGGAAAGAGTTCAGATGTCCATCGAGGGATGAATGGATAAAGAAGATGTGGTACATGTAAGGACCTATTTAGCAAGAGGCTTCCATTAAGGTTAAACAATAACCTTGTTGTTTAACCCTTAAACTGTCCCTGCTCTCCTTCCCCCAGGGGACTTACTTTAAAAACAAACCCCGGAAACCAGCCTCAGGTACAAAGCTCAAATACAAGGGTGGGTCAGGCCAGGTGGATCAGTGGATCATCTGATCAGTGGGGGGGATGCATACTGTCTCCCTAGTTACCAAGGAGTATGGGCCCCACCCTTTGGGAGCCTTTTGGGCACCGATTCTAACCAAAGTGTGATAGGCTAGGTCAAATGTCTACTAGGGTAAATTGTAATTCAATTGGTCACCTAGCATGACTGTGCAGCTTTCTCTGTGTGTTACAGTTTCATTCGCCACCTGTGCGTGGCTAGGCCCAACCGCATGGTCTTTGCCCTTAAAAACTAGTCTGTGAAACAGAGAAAGGTGGCCCTCTTTGTAAGAGGCATGGCCCTGGCCAGTGAGTTTGATTCTTGATGCTTGGCTCAAAATAAAGCTTTGCTTGACCTTCGCTTTATATCAGTCTCGCTCCTTAAATCACGGACCCATTTTGAGGGGACATAACAGTACACACACACACACACACACACGAATATTACACAGCTATCAAAAAATGAAATCTTGCCATTTGCAACAATGTGGCTGGAACTAGAGGATATTACACGAAACAAAATTAGTCATTCAGAGTAAGATAATTGTCATATGATTTTCATCATATGTGGAATTTAAGAAATAAAACAGAGGATCATATGGGAAGGGAGGGAAAAATAAAATAAGACAAAATCAGAGAGGGAGACAAACCATAAGAGACTCTTAATGATAGGAAAAAACAGAGGGTTCCTGGGTTGGGGGGGAGATGAGTGGAAGAACGGGATACCTGGGAGATGGACATTAAGGAGGACATGGGATGTAATTGAGTACTGTGTGTTATATAAGACAGATGAATCAAAAAAAAAAAAGACGGATGAGTTACTGAACTCTACCTGAAACTAATAATATGCTATATGTTAATCGAATTTAAATAAAATTAAATAATAAACAAAGGAATAAATAAATCTGTGCTTTGGTGTTTATAATCAGTTTCACATCTCTTTCCAGATTGTACAAAAGTCTAACGGGACTCTGTTTCTAGAGCACAACCCCTACTCTACTTCTTGTTGTTGGTCATGTTGTTTCTACTATTTGAAATGCTTTTCCTCATAATAAATGAATCAAATCTAGTTCTCAAGCCCTGTTCAGACATCACCCTTTAAACAATCCCTCCTTAATTTCCTCAACATGCTGGGCTAGCTCTCCTTTCTTCAATACCAATTTCGGTTGTCTCTTATGAACTTAGGATTTTATGCTTTTTATTTGCACTATCCATTTCCATCTCTGTCTCCCAGTAAATTGTAAAATTCTCAAGGACACGCAATTGTTTAAAGGAACTTTAAACAAATTACCTTTTTATCTTCTGTGTGTTGTAGTAAATTACTTTGAACAAAGCAAACTTTCAATAAAGGAATACATAAATAATAGTGGTAATAGCTTACACTTAGATGGTGCTCAATATATACTTTACACTTTTCTAGTATATATTAATACATATAATCATCACAAAACTAAGAGTTTAGTTCAACTATTATTCCCATTTTATAGACAAAAACACAGCAGGACACAAAGACCTTGCCAAAGCTCACATAGCTATTATATGGGAGAGCCAGTATTCCAAACCAGATTTCCATAATGTTCTCATGCATCTTGTTTTCGAGTGAATGAATAGATGGATTTTGAAAAATGTATTTATAGCACTATTTAAAATCAGTTTATTACTTAAGTACTCATTTCATCCACATTAATGCCAAGATCTTTTAGATTGTTTATTTTTTTTCCTGTATGAAGTATCAAAGCTTCAATCCAAGGAGGTTATTGACCATTTTTCTTGGACTTGACTTCCTTAACTAATGGAAAATTTCCTCGTTTTCAAATATATACACATATAGATATAATTTTAGACACACAGAAGCTGCAAAAACAGTACAGAGAAATCAGCTGTACCCTCACCAAGTTTCTCCCAATGGTAACATCTTACATAGACATCGTACATTATCCAAACCAGGAAATCAATATTGGCATAATACCAGTAACAAGTTTCCAGTTCTTACTTGGACTCACCAAATTTTTCATGAAGTCATTTTTAAAATATCTTTGTGTATAATTCTAAGACATTTTATCATATGTGCAGATTTTAATAACCATTACCACAATCAGGAAATAAAACTGTTCTATCACCACAAAGAAATTTCCATATGCTACACTTTTATAGTCATACCCTTCCTTCCCTTCCGTAACCACCAAAACATTCTCCATCTGTATAATTTTATATTTTTAGGATGGATGAAATCATACAGAATGTAACATTTTGATATTAGCTCTTTTCTGTTGGCATAAATGTTTTTGAGATTTTTCCAAGTTGTTGCATGTATCAATAATTTATTCCTTTTGTTTTGGAAGAACTGGTGTTTGTTTAACTATTCAGTCATTGAAGGACACCTGGGTTGTTTCCTTTTTTGGGCTATCTCCAAATAAAGCTGTTATGAACAGTCATGTGCAGGTTTATGTGTGAATACAAATGATCAGTCTTTTTTTAGAGAGAGAGAGAATGTGCATATGTAAGTTGAGGGGGGCAGAGAGAGAGAGAGAGCAAGAATCTTAAGCAGGGCTCAATCCCCTGACCCTGAGATCATGATCTGAACATGAAATCCAAAGTCAGATGCTTAACGGACTGAACAATCCAGATGCCCTTGAATATTCAGTCTTTATGATAAATCCCATGAGATAAATGCTGGGTTACATGGTAAGTGTATGTTGAACTTTCTAAAAACTGCCAGGATGATTTCTAACGTGGCTGTACTATTTTACATTCCTACCAGCAAGGTATGAGCGATCAAATTCCTCTGCATATTTGTCAGCATTCGATATTAGAAATACATTTTTTTTAAAGATTTTATTTATTTATTTGAGAGAGCGATTGAGAGCGAGAGAGGAAGAGCACGAGGTGGGGGAGAGGTAGATGGAGAGGGAGAAGCAGACTCTCCATTGAGCAGGAAGCCGGATGTGGGGCTTTATCCCAGGACCCTGGGATCATGACCTTAGCCTAAGGCGATGCTAAGTTGAACAACTTTTCCTGTATTTATTTATCATCTATATACTTTCTTTGGTGCAGTTTGTCTTTTTCCATTTTTCTAATTGAATTGTGGTTTTTTTTTTTCCCCCCTTTACTGTGGAAATTAGAGTTTGGTGGCTAAACTTTCATCATCTTGACAGAATCATTTTTAAAATAAAAAATTTAAATTTTTATGGAATCCAATTTATTTATTTTTTTCTTGGTTAGTTCATGATTTTGGCGTCATATATTAGAACAATGTGCCTAACCCCAGGTCATGAAGATTTTCTCCTATACTGTCTTCTAAAAGTTTTATAGTTTTACCTTTTACATTAGATCTATGATCCATTTAGAGTTAACTTTTGTATGAGGTTGAAGATTAGGTTTGAGGATCATTTTTGCAGCTACTGATGTCCAGTTGTTTCAGCACTATTTATTGAAACGGTCCTTCCTCTTCCACTGAATTGCTTTTGCACCACTGTCAAAACTAAGGTGAGTGTATTTGTGTGAATCTATTTCTGCCACCCGATATTTTTAATTTAGTCCATTGCAGTGAAAGGGAATGTGGTTGTTGGACCTACTCAGGCATAGATGCTATAGTCACATATACTTACAGATATCTTCTGTTACACACTCAATACTGATAAAACATGGATCTGCTGGGACTTCCTTCCACCAAGTACAGCCCAATATCTCTACCCTACTTTATGAAAGCCAGCTACTGGAGTGAGGACATAACTTTGAGTGGTGGATGCCTTTAAGTTCATATGGAGAGAAAGTGTCATGTGGATTCTCTTTAAAGAATAAGTTAGCAAACACAGGGAGAATATATATTGTATAAATGGTCATTCCAGTTCCTTTAAAGGCAATTTGAAAAAAAAGACATCCTTTAAAAACAATGAGATTTACATAAAATTTAAAAAAATGAGATTTATAAAAATTCACTGCATGTTCAATAAAATATTACTTAGAAATGTGTAAAATTCAATTATTCTTCCCCATTTTTTCCATATTGTACTTGTCTATTTTGCTATTTTTAGGTGTAGTGCCCAGAGTTCTAGACATTTAGATTAATATTCAACAATATAAAATTGTTCTCATATGAGGAAAAGAATGACAAGCATCACAGCATTGAAAAAGAAAAACTGGAAATTTGAAGAACTTACCTGATCATTTGTGGATTTTAAATCCTGGGTTTATTGACATTCAAGCAGTACTTAACTTATTTAATTTAATATTTGCTGATTGCTTACCGTGTTAATAGTATCATGATATTCATAAATGCACTCTATGAAAACTTTATGTGTATATAAAAATGATCCTTTTTCTTTCTAGGTATTATAAATGTGTTTTTCTTGAGGGATTTGACCTTCATCCAAGTAAGTTTTATTTGTTATAACTTCACTTACAAAGAAATTCCTCTTCTAATGATATTTACAGTGCATCAAAAAACTGTATTAAATTTTTTTTATTGTAATACATAATATATAAACATAAAACACATAATATAAAATTTACCATCTTAACCATTATTAAGTGTAGACTTCAGAAGTGTTAAGCACAATTACACAGTTTTAAAACAGATCTCCAGAACTTTTTTTATCTTGCAAATCTGAAACTGTATAATCATTAAACAACTTCCCTAACTCTCCTCCCCACTCAGCCCCTGATAATCACCACTCTACTTTCTGTCTCTATGAATTAGATTACTTTAGCTATCTCATAGGTGGAATCATACAGTATTGGTTCTTCTATGGTTTATTTCACTTAATATAATGTCCTTGTGTTTCATTCATGTTGTAACATGTGACAGTATTTTCTTTTTTTAAAAGCTGAATAATATCCCACTGTATGTATATTTAAATACATACACACATACATACTATATATATTTTTTATTAACATGTAACATATTATTTGTTTCAAGGGCACAGGTCTATGATTCATCAGTCTTATACAAATCACAGCACTCACCATAGCACATACTTCCCCCAGTGTCCATCATCCAGCCACCCCCATCCCTCCCAACCCTCTCCCCTCCAGCAATCCTGTTTGTTTTCTGAGATTAAGAGTTTCTTATGGTTTACCTCCCTCCCCCATCCCATCTTGTTTCATTTTTCCCTCCTTTCCCCTATGATATCTGTCTTGTTTCTCAAATTCCTTAGATCAGTGAGATCATATGATAATTGTCTTTCTTTGATTGACTTATTTCACTTAGCATAATACCCTCTAGTTCCATCCATGTCATTGCAAATGGCAAGATTTCATTTTTTCATACATACTATATTTTGCTCATTCATTAGACCAGCAGTGAACATTTGGATGACTTCTACCTCTTGATTGTTGTGAATAGTGCTGCTATGAATGTGGGTGTGCAAATATCTCTTCAAGACCCTACTTTTGAATCTTTTGGGTTTTTACTTAAAAGACTTCTGAGACATATGGTAGTTCTATTTTTCATATTTTTGAGAAATGTCCATAATGTTTTCCACATTGGTTGCATCATATTATCATCCCACCACCAATGCACAAGTTTAAATTTTTCCACATTCTCACCAACATTTGTTAGTTCCTATTGTTGTGTTTGTGTGGTGTTTTTTTTTTTTTTTGATAGCAATCATAATGGCTAATAAGTAATGCTTCATTGTGATTTTGAATTGCATTTCTCTGATGATTAGTCACATTGAACACCTTTTAAATGCTTGTTGACCATTTGTATATGATCTTTGGAGAAATACCCATTCAAGTCCTTTGGCCACTTTTAAATCAAATTATTAATTTATTTATTATTTATTTTGTTTTTCATTTGTAGTTCTTTATATTATAGGTAGTAACCTCATATTAGATATATGACTTAAAAATATTTTCTCCCATTCTATAGGTTGTCTTTTCATTGTTCCCTTTCGTACACATTTTTCTGGGTTTTTCTATTTTCGCTTTTGTTCACTGTGCTTTTGTTGTCATATCCAAGTTATCGTCAAGCACAATGCCATGAAGTTTTCTTCTAGGAGATTTATGGTTTTGTGTCTCTAATGTATTTCTAGTTATTTTATTTATTTATTTATTTATTTATTTATTTATTTATTTGAGAGAGGTAGGGGAGAGGGAGAGGGAGACACAGAGAGAGAATCTTAATCAAATTCCATGCCCAGGGCAGGGCCCAACGTGGGGCTCAACCTCATGAACCTGAGGTCATTACCTGAGCTAAAATCAAGAGTCAGACACTTAACCAACTGAACCATCTAGGTGCCCCTTGAGTTAATCTTTGTAAAAGGTATATATTAAGGGTGTTACTTCATTCTTGTGCATGTAATTACCCAGTTTCCCAAAACTGTTTGTTGAAGAGACTGTTCTTTCCACATTGAATAGTCTTGCCACTGTTGTCAAAGATCATTTGACTATTTATGTGAGGGTTTATATGTGGTTTATTTCTCTATTCTTTTCCATTGGTCTATTTGTCTGTCTTTATGTTACTACCACACTGGTTTTCATTACAGTAGCTTTGCAATATGTTTTGAAATTAGGAACTGTGAGTCTTTCAAATTTGTTTTTGTTTTTCAAAATTGTCTTTGGCTATAAGAGGTTTCTTGAGATTCCGTACAAATTTTAGGGGTATTTTTTCTTCTTATTTTGCAAAAAAGAAGTGTCTTTGGGCTATTAAGTGGGATTGCATAGAATATGTACATCTCTTTAGTAGTAGGGATATCTTAACAATATTTTATCTTCCAATTAAGTAAATAAGAGATGACTTTCCATTTATTTGTGTCTTTTAAAATTTCTTTCACAATTGTTTTGTAGTTTTTAATTTAAAGGTCCTCACTTCCTTGGTTAGATTTATTCCAAAATTTTTTTTTTCATTTTAATGCTATTTTTATTGAAAAAATTTTTTCCCTTAATCATCTTTTTAACTTGTTCATTGTTAATGTATAGAAATACAACCCAGCCTGGGTGTTGACATTTTATTCTACAACTTTGCTGAATTCTTTTATTAAGTCTAACAGTTTTTTAATGCACTCTTTAGGGTTTCTACATGTAAAATCAGGTTACCTGTAAACAGAGATTCTTTTACTTTTCCCTTTCTGATTTTGTCTTTTTTTGCCCAGTTGCTCTGGCTTGGATGTTCAATACTAGGTTGAATATGAATGGTAAGAGCAGACATTCTTTCTTGTTCTGAAAAACTGCTGAATTTTGACAAATGCTTTTTTTTTTTTTTCCTTGCATTGGTTAAGATTATGGGTTTTGTCCTTTATTCTGTGAATGTGGTATATTACACTGATTTTCCTGTGTTGAACTATCCATGCATTCCAGGAATAAATCTTACTTGGTCATCATGCATAATCTTTTTAATGTGCTTTTGAATTTGGTTTGCTAGTATTTTATTGAAAACTTTTGCTTCAGTGTGTATCAGGGATAATGGTCTATAGTTTTTGTTTCTCGTACTATCTTTGGCTTTGGTGTCAAGGTAATGCTGGCCTCATGGAATAAGCTTAGAAGTATTCATATTCTTTCTTCTTCAGTTTTTTGGAAGAGTTTAAGGAGTGAAGCCCACTAGTCCTGGGCTTATATTTCTTGTGAAATTTTTAATTACTAGTTCAATTTCTTTACTCATTATTGTTCTGTTCAGATTTTCTACTTCTTTAAGATTCAGTACTTTCAGCTTATGCATTTCTAGGAATTTATCCATTTAATGTAGGTCAACCTGTGTGTTGGCATACAATGTTTAAGGTATTCTCTTATAATCCTTTTTATTTCTGTGGCATCAATTGTAATGTCTCCTCTTTCATTATTGATTTTAATTAAGTATTTTCTCTTTATTTATTTATTTTTTTTAAAATCTAAGATTTGTCAATTTTGTTGAACTTTTCAAAAAACCAACTCTTACTTTCATTGATTTTTTTCAATTCCCTGTTTATCTCTGGTTGAATCTTGTTAGGTCCTTCTTTCTATTAGCAGTGGGCGCAGTTCTTTTTCTAGTTTCTTGAGGTGTAAAGTTAGGCTATTGACTTGAGATCTTTTTACTTTAATGAATGTATTTACAGCCATAAACTTCTCTCTTAGTACTGCTTTCACTGCATGCTATAACTTTTGATATGTTGTGTTTTCATTTTCATTTTTCTCAAGGTATTTTCTAACCTCCTTTGTGACTTCTTTTTTCCCCATTTGTTGTTTAGAGTACATTGTCTAATTTTCACATATTTGTGTATTTTTTCAGTTTTCTTTGTGCTATTGATTTCTAGTTTTATTTCATTATGAATTTGTATAATTTCAGTCTTCTTGAATTAAATAAAATTTGATTTGTGGCCTAACATCTGGTCTATCCTAGAAAATGTTTTATGGGCACTTGAGAAGAATGAAAATTCTGCTATTATTAGAACAGTGTTCTGTATATGTCTGTTATGTCTAATTGGTCTACAGTATTGTTCATTTCCTCTATTTTATTGATCTGTTTATTCTATTATTGAAAGTAGAGTTTTGAAGTATCATCCTATTATTGTGTTATTTATTTCTCTCTTCAATTCTGTCAAGATGTGTTTCAAATATTATAGAGCTCTGAGGTTTAATTCATATTTATAATTGTTAATCTTCTCAGTAAACTGGCATTTTTATCATTATATAATATCCTTATCTCTTGTAACAGTTTTTAAATTTAAGCCCAGCTGTCTGATGTTAGTATAGCCACTCCTGCTCCCTTTTGGTTGCAACTTGCATGGGAAATCTTTTGCTATCATTTTGCTTTAAGCCTATAGGTGTCCTTAGATTTAAGATGAGTCTTTTGTAGACATCATATAATGGGGTCCTGTTTTTATATCCATTCAGCCAATCTATGTGTTTTGATTGAGGAGATTAATTTATTTACATTGAATGTAATCAATAACAGGAAAGATTAATTATTGCTTTTTTGTTAATTTTTTTTAATGTCATGAGGTTTTTTTTTATTCCTCCCTTTCTCTCTTACTGTCTTCCTTTGTTTTTCATTGAATAATTTTTTGCAGTGATATACTTTGATTCATTTCTCATTGCCTTTTGCATACATTTTAAAGCTATTTTTCTGTGGTTATTGAAATTACATAAAACATCTTAGAGTTAAAACATTCTGTTTTGAACTGATAGCAAATTAATTTCAGGTGCACATCAAATCTCTACTTCTTTACAACTCCATCCTTTCCCACTTTATGTTATTGATGTTACAAGTTATATCTTTAGATGTTACTACTTATTAACACAGATTTATAGCTATTTTTTATGTTTTTAACATTTAAATTCTATAAAACAATATCACAATAGTAAAGGTTACTACATTTGTACATGTATTTACTTTTACTGGCAAATCATGTACTATCATATAGCATTGTGTTGCTGTCTATGTTCTTTTATAGCAATTTGAGAGGTTCCCTTTAACGTCTCTTGTAGAATAGGTCTAATGATAATGAACTTCTTTAGCTTTTGTTTATCTGGAAAAGTCTTAATTTCTCCTTCATTTTTGAAGGACAGTTTTGTCAAATACAGAATTCTTGATTGACAGATATTTTTCATTTCAGTACTTTGAATATATTATCCCCCTTTCTGGCCTTCATAGTTTCTACTGACAACTCTATCGATAATCTTATGGAAGCTTCCTTATATGTTGTGGAGGTTGATTTTCATTTGGTGCTTCCAAGATTCTCTTTGTCTTTGACTTTAGACAATTTGATTATAATAATTCTATGTGGTCTCTTTGAATTTAGTCTAGATGGTGTTCTTTGAGCTTCTTGGAAGTATATATCTGCTTCTGTCCTCATCTTTGACAAGTATTCAGTCATTATTTCTTCAAATAAGCCCCTTTATCCTCTCTTTTCTCTTCTTGAGAGTCTTATAATGTGCATATTGATAACATTCTATAATCTCCTTAGTTTCTCCTTGCTTTTTTTTTTAATTGTTTTTGTCTTTTTTCTTCCTTTGACTTGATGATTTTAAATAATCTGTCTTCAGCATCACTGATTCTTCTTTCTGCCTGATCAAGTCTGTTGAATCCCTCTAATGAATAGTTATTATATTTTTCAGCCCCCAGAATTTCTGTTTTATTTTTTTCCTAATATTTTCTATCTCTGTTGATACTATCCTTTCGTTATGTATCATTTTCCTGATTTGATTTAGCTGCTCATCTGTGTTTTCCTTTGGCTCACTTAGCATCTTTATATGTATTTTCAGTCCTTTTCAGGCTACATTACTTTAAGTTTGGTTTTAGAGACTTAATTTGTTTCTTGTTTGGACCATGTATTTATACTTCTTTTATGCCTTGTGATTTTTTTTTTTTTTTTTTTAATGCTGGGATTTGGACATTTGAAGAAGCTACTGCCTATCTAAATCTATGTGTATCATCTTCTCTTAGAGGAAGACCTTCACCAATTAATCTGGCTAGAAATTCTAGGACCTTGCAAACTTTCTGATCTCTTGCTTCCCTTGTTGTCTGCCTGTGGATCTGTAGCCCTGACATGTTGGTTGTCTCTCTTTTCAGCAGCTTCCAAACTCTGACCCCAATCTTGTCTGCATGTAGAGGTGACAGAAACCAGTCCCTCAGGTAACCTCCCTAGATAAGTTAGAACATTGGATTCAGGTCCACTCTTTTGTTTTCCTCCTGAGGAAGGAACCCTGATATGGAACATTTCCTCTTGGCTGCTCCTGAGATGTTGCATAAGGGATGAAGCATAATTAGGTAGGCAAGTATGTAAATTTTTCTTACCCATTTCACTGACTTAGGCCCTGCAGCTTCTCAACTTGTCTCTAAAGTTCTCACAGAGGTATTCTGGTCCATTTATTTTTATAAACCCTGTGTCTCTGTGAAAGGAGGTCCTGCAGCCTCTTAGTCCAACATTTTGCTGACCTCATTCAAAAATAGTTCATTATATTTTGATTTTGTGCAATGAAGACCCTATACTTTGCTACATCAAGAGTGACATTTTTTTTAAGTTTACATTATTTAATTTTTACTCATTGACAAGAAAATGCAAAATATCATGAAGCTTATTTCTGAGTTCTTCTTATGTTAAGAAATTGTATTGCAGAATGACTTGAGCTATGGGATGAAGAACTTCTAGTTTATAAGGATTACATACTTATATTTATATTTCATTTTGAAACTGTTTTAAACCATAATTGAACATAAAGGGATTTACAGATTTGATATGTTATAAAATTTGTTGCATTACCCATTTTAAATTTCTTTATTGCTTTAGCCATGTGAAGAACTGACTTGATACAATGGTAGCCTTCAAATATGTAATCAAGAAAACTTACAGTGAAAAGTCAGGAATAAGAAAGAGGGACAAGTCAAAACTTAGGGTTGGGTATAAATGGGTAAGGAATACATGACCTGAATTCTCAATCTCTCTTTCTTTCTCTCAGTCTCTCTCTTTCTCTGTCACACACACACAGACACACAGACACACACACACACAGACACACACACACCAGTGGTCAGTCAGGTCACATGAAGTTTGGGTGAAAAATCTCAATAAGATGAAAAGTACATGGGGCCAGTGACCCACACTTGCTCCACTGGAGGGATTCAGAGACAAGTCACTTGACAGGTAATCTGGCCTAATCAGGTATGGTTTTAATGAGTAGAGGACTGATGGAGCTACAATGAGTGCTATTAATGGAAGTCCTGATTAAGATTTAATGCATATTGGGTATCTAGAGTGTTACATATATTAAATACATATACATATATGTGTGTATATATATTTTTGTTATGTATATAACATATTATATGTCTTTATGTATATTAAGTCATGAATACATGAATATTTGGTACCTCATGAATATTTAGTGTATCATGGATATTTAGTGTCTATATGGTCTTTTCATCCATATCTATCTCACATGCATATGCTTTTCTTTCTTTATGTACAACATGTCTTCCAAGTTACTAACTTATTTATTTCTTATCATCTTTGACTTTTACCTATCTCATTGGTTTTCTTGACTTCGATAAATATAATTTCATATTCTCAATAAATACCATAAAATTCATTATAGATTTTATAATAATAATGTTTGTTCTAATTCCCCCCAAAAAACTAGCTACAGAAATAATTAATAAGGAAAAGGGTAATTTCCATTAGGTCTTATACACCATTAGTTAAGACATAGGGCCCAGAGAGGAAGACACCATGACTCCTCTTTTTAAACATTTCTTTTCAGACCCCTCCTTGCCCCATACTGGAAAATTATACTCTTTCCTATGGCCAACTCATATATCTTGCCTCATCCTTCAGGAGCATACTGTGGATCAGAACTCTGGCTGGACTTGGTCACCAGGAACTTAAGATGTAAAATGAAGGGTGAGGAAAGCTAAGGATTGTTAAATGACTCTAACTTGTCAGTTAATACCTGGTAATATTACTTTGTTAAGTCTTCAGAACTACTTAGGAATAGAAATTTTTATTCCATTTACAAATTTACTTGCTTGAGCTCACATAACTGCAAAGAAACATCACTGATTTTAAAACCAGAAATCACTGATACCAAATGCTATGCTCTTTCTCTGTTTCTTTCTCTGAATTTCTTGTCTTGTTACCCCAGGGCCTGTGCTGAAGTCCCTGGCTTCGAAACTGTTTTATCAGAAAGTAACTGCTACTCAGACCTCCTTTACATGATCAAAGTGGACCACTGTGTGTGCCAGTTCTTGTTTCTTTGTCCCCCTCTGGTAAAATAGGTGGTAATTAAATATATGCCCTCTTGATAAATTAGGTAAATGTTTTTCCCTCCAAGGAAACACAAAAACATAATTCAACTGAGGTCTTCCTAAAGGTGATACAAATACAAGAATTTAATATGAAAAAAATATATATATATTCCTCTACAGGGAGACCATTATCTCCTTTCTGTCAACATATCATGGAGTCTGCAATTTACTGTATCTTAGAAAAACTAACCTGGACACAACCTCTTATCCTTTACAAGAACACAATGGAACAAAAATAACAAAGGAAAACATAACCCATAAACCCACCCAAAAGCAAAAGTAATGAGTATGAGCCTAGAATTTCCAAGGTCACTTGTACATAATAGGAATCATAAGATCCACCCCATCTGTCTCACATGACTGCTGTGAGATTCCAAAGACATCATGTGAGTGAAGGTAATTTATAAAGTGTAGATTACTACAGAGAAATAGAGTACATTTCTTACAAGGGCATTCACTGCAACCCTTTCACTTTTAGATTAATCCCATAAGTGACTAGCTACCATCACAATGTTTTGCTCCCTGGGTCATGGATTGTAGAAACAGTTTCCACTATAACTGCATTTGATCAATGCCAACAGAGCTCCATCCCAGCCAAACATGTGTCTCCTCTGGAAAAAAAAAAAAAAAAAAAATCTATCTATCATATTGTTAAATACCCATCATTTTCAAAATGTTTTTTTTTTTCATCAATTATTTCCCTTCAGAAAAAAATAACTGCTCTGAAATTACAAATAAAAAAAAGAATTGAAAATGTTGATTTGGGCCATTAATAACCTTCTTTGTGCCAATTTCTGAACATAAGAAAGAAACATATGCTTCTGAAGAGCTCTTTGTCTAGCCAAGGCATGTGCTATTACCCATTAGAGCTGAGCCATGTCAACCCAGGAAGGGTCAGGGAAGGAAAGCCCTTTGTAAACTAAAATGCTTAACCCAGCCATTATGCGTTCACTGACAGAAAGCTCCAAATTCCCAGATCCTTAAAAATCAAATAAAAAGTTTTTAAATGTCATATAACATTTCCTCTTGTACCACAAAGCATGAAATCCTTACGTTCACACACTCAGCAATCTCACATGCATACATACCTGCTATGTCCTAGGCTCTGAGCTAAGAGCTGGCGATAAAAAGAAGCACAAGATGCATTCCTTTGTTTTTAGAAAGGTCATAGTTGAACTCTTTTGTGAAAAAGGAACGAGTAATGAGATAATGTGGGAGAATGTCTGTTTTTCAAAAAGAGCAAATTTCTATAGAAATAGAAGTTATTGTTATGATTAAATAATTGAGTTATGCCAAAGTTTTCACTCATAGAATTGGTTCTAATCAGATTAGCAAAAAAAAATATATATATATATATATATATAGTTTATCAAGGGAAAGGGAACCAGACATTATAACACCATTTATTGAAATATCTGCTATTCTTTTGTTTAGCCCTAGATCTTAGTTAAGATTAAAAAGCCTTTGAAAATTATCCAAAATACTTAAATATCGAGAGCAGAGAGACTCAGGCTAAGTTGATAAGCCTGGTCAGATTAATTACTATAAAAGTAAACCCAGAAATCAATCATTTTGTTAAAAATAAATAAACTCCATTTAAAAAAGTTTTATTGGCCGACTCAGCTACAAACCACTTCAGTTCTAAAGAAGTTTACTGACAAATTACTTTCTTACCTAACTTTAAGCTTTTAAAAAGTGAAAAGACTCTATTATGCTGCCATTTGGTGTGATTTAGTGATCTGTGTTTCCTGCTATAAGTAATCAACATCTCTTTTTGGCTTGTTTGCTTTCCTTTAGGGTGAATTTAAATTTAAAATATGCATCTCTTTCTTTTATTATTATTATTCCATATGTGTTCAGAGGAATCAGCTACAGAGGCACTCCCTATCTGGATGCATGGAGAATGCACGCTGAGTGCTCCCGGCCTTCCTAAACCCAGCTTACCTGCAGCATTTAATTCCGCCTGTGGGGGAAAATGAACTTTTGGTTACTTCCTGATGCCTCATCATTGTCACTGTTAACCTGTCACATCAGATGCATACCTCCCATGGCTGTATAATCTTGGAGAATATAATTTCCTTCCCACATCCCATCACTCAGGATGACTTCTTGTAACAGCTTCAGAGTAGTAAAACGCCTTAAGCGCCCGTCATCACGTGGGCTAACACCTTGCCTGAAAATGACATTGAAACAGTCTCTGAGAAAGCATCCTGTTAGTGGTGGTCTAAGTTCCCACCGTAGCCATCTTGCTGGTCTCTCTAGAGCACAGCTCTGCGGAAACACTGATGGTGCTGCCGCAGAGAAGCTGTCATCATTCGCTCTGGGGCCTTCCTGGGATGCCCAGAGTTCAGACTAAATTCCTCCTGGATGTTTTCCTGCTTTCAGACATGGCAATGGGAATGCTAAGAAACAGTCAGGTGCAGACTGCCTCAATCTGCTGAGCACTTCTGTTTATTATTTTTCCTCATTCCCTTGTGTGTGTGCTATTGCATTTTTGTAGCTGCCACTCTGTAAAGCATACCTTCTAGATAGTTATTTAAAACCTGACACTGTAGTGTTATAGTAAGCATAAATTAATAAAAGCAATTTGGGTTAAGGTTAACCACTCATTTAAGCACTACTCATGGGGACAGGATGTTAGACGTGGACACAAAGGTCAAGAACACATAAGCAAGGTGTATCATACCTGCAAAAGATAAGAGGCAAGTATACAGTACCAAAGCAAGAAACAGTATCTAGTGTCCCTTTCATAACATCACAGCTTATTCGAGTACTTTGCCTGAAACTGTTAAAGACCTCTGATAAAACAATTGAAACAATCTACTATTATGTGTAACCAATAAAAACCCTTATGTGCTCAAAGATTTAAGATTCTAGGGAGAGCAAACTCAGTAGGCATATGTCTGGTTTGGATGTTCAGTACAGAGGGAGAGGATTGGTGAGGGTGACCTTGAGAGGTGAACAGGGATCTGGTGATCTTGTGATAAGGGGGTGAGGGGGAAAGTGGAATAATACAGAGTATGAAAATTATATGAAAGAGAAAAAAAAAAGAAAGGGAAAAGAGATTCCTTTTGCTAAAATAAAATGAAAATTTCCATTTATGTCAATATTTCCATTTATGTCAATATGTCAATAAACATTAGAATATTGTTTCTAAATTTCTCCAGGTGTTTTCATGATTTCTTACTGTGAATTTTATTTACAGATCTAATGTTCAGTAGATGAACAAGAATGGGACAAATGTGGAAGCTGAGGAAGTTGTAGAAGCAAAAAACAGGTGAAAACAATAGGTAACATTTGGCAAGCCTGTATAACAACAAAAAGCAGGAACTAATTTCAACCTGGGGAAGGTCTGTTAAAAGCTTCCTCCAAAATTTCAGAGTAAGATGAATGAGTAGAATAGTGGCCAGTTGCTTTACCACAGTTTAGGTAGTTTGGATTAAATATGATAAAGAGAAGTATGTTCTCAGCAACCTTTTGGTACACAAACTATTCTATGGAAATAATTTTGTTTGTATCCAAATACTTATCAGGGGAAATAATCATGTTAACATTTATAATACTCTAATACAATCATACTGAAATCAAAATTCTTGCGAATTTCCTTGTGAGTTTTCCTCTTCATCTACCACACGAGGTGTGGGGGAATATTCATTGTGTTAAAGTCAATTAATCTGTAAATTGCTTTGCTTCCTAGTGCATGAACTACAAGACTCTCCACTCTTTTGTATTTTGTCAAGGACAGTGAGATATTTGCAATTAGTTGTCTGATGTCTGTGACATGGATACAGTTAAAGATAAAAGAAAATAGATGCGATCCATGGTAGTCTATTTCACTAGAATTTTGTTGCCTAAATATATTTTTTTGTGCTTTCATATTTCAGACAGGACTGTCACCCAAGGAAGCCTTTTATGTAGGCAGACAATGGGATTTAGGTGAAAATAATGGTGACTTTGAACTGAACTCAGGAAGGTAGGTTAATTTTCACACAACTGTATGGCATATTGGTATTTCAATAAAAGAATTGCTGAGTTCAGATTTTCTCAACTGAATTCTGAAGTTGAGTCGCTACAATCAATTTCTCAGAAAAATAAAAAAAAAATCTTTATAGAGGTTTAATGCAGATTGACACATGGAACACAGAAATAGATCTTCACAGAATTTCTCATCCTCCTTGAGCTTCTATAACCAAGAAGAGAGCATCTCCAGTGGTAAAAATAAAACAGAATGCAAATTCATCATAAGCACAGTAGTTTTATATACAAATCAAACTGATTTTAAGCAAGAACATCTGTGCAAACAAGATTGTAAAAGGTAATTTCAAGGCTACAAAGGAAGAGAAATATGTTGATTGGATTTTAAAATAGACATGTTAAATGTGTTAAATACACCTACTGTGATGTGAGATGTATGACATAATTTAATAAGCTTATTTAATGAAGATCTGCAGAAAAGCCTAACTAGGAGAAACACCATTTTTTCTTATTTTTTAAATGTTGGTGTTAAGGAATATTTGACAAGTGAAGAAATTAAAAAGTCCATTTTTAAATTCAGACACACACTGGAGGGTCCACTATGTGCCAACCACTGGACTAAATGCTAGATTTTACTATGGCTTGACTCCTGTCCTACTGGAACTTACAATATAGTAAAGAGACATGTGAGTATCTTGTTGTTCCTCAGGGAAAGAGGTTCTCTCAGAGCACAGAGTAGGACATCTAAATCATTCCACCAAATCCAGAAGGTTTCCCAGTTTAACCACTGAGGTTGAATTTTGAAAGACCAGTTAAAGGATATCATATAAAGAAGATGCAGGTGGCTTCTGGAAGAAAGAAGTAGTATGTTGCAAAGACACAGAGTATAAAGTAGCATAAATATCCCTGGGGAACTGCAAGTGGTTAAGACATTGCCCTTTCTCTAAACGCTCTTCCTCCAGACGGTCCCAGAGATGTTCAGTGCAAATGTAGAGACAGAAATGTAGGGAGTGGAAATTCCAAACCAGGTGAACTGACATTTAATGGGAAAGCAGCAAAGAAGCCAATGGAGGCCATAAAGAAGGAATGGCCAGGGAAGGAGACAGTCAGAAGAGAACAGTATCACTGAAACTAAGAGTATAAGATAAGATTCAAAAAAGATCAAGTGCTCTACAGCATCATGTGCCACCAAAAGGCCAAATCGTTAAGGAAAGAATATCATAGAAGAAGGTAAGAAGTCAGCAGTCAGTACTGACCTTAAAAGAAAAGTCTCAATAGAGTATTGGTGGACAAGGTTAGATTGCTGGATATTGAAGAGCGAATGGTAAGTGAGGAATTAGATACTTAAGTCTCGGTGGTATGTGATCAGTCGGTAGCTGTACAAGGAAAAGGATTTGGCATGTTGATATAATGTGGACACCAACCAGGGAGAGGAAAGATATAAAATACAGGAGAAAGAGAGAGTGATTAATGAGGCCAGTTCCTCACAGATACAGGAGTGGATAATAGGTTCATCCACCTGGAAGGGTCAGCAATGACATGGGAGCAGGGACAGCTCTTTCACTTAGATGGGAAGAAGAGACAAGGGGCAGAAGACAGATGGAATACATCTGCTGAGAACAGGGAAAAAGATGTTTTCCCAAATTCTAAATTCAACACATCAAACAAACACACATACAACAGACATCCTCCTAACCACCACACCACAAATACTGGGAGTTTCATTTTTGTTCTTTTCTGCCTACTTAATTTTTAGCTGATTTTGCTATTTATGATTATAAATAGCCTGACCTGTACCTTGTATCTAATCTTTAAAATGTTAGCCTTTTTTTTTTTTCAAATGGCTTGTAGCTTTTCCTGTTTGTTCTCAGACTCATATATTCAAACATAAAAATAGCACAATAGTCCTGTCATGGTGAAAAATAAAAACCTGCATTAAATTTTACCTCTTTAGTATAAAACGTGGTGCCGTGCTAAATCTTCTGGGACTGTGTAATCCTGATATACATTTTACCTGACAGTCTCCAATCCATCTGCGTATTCCTGGAGCACCTCTGCCATAACTTTTATTCCTAGCAACTTCTCTGCTGAAAATGATCAAATGAAAGCCCATTAATGATATAAAAAAAAATTGGTATAATTCAACACATAATTTGAAATACATTCATGTCTAATGCATACTAATAACATAGCATGACAAAATCATTATAGACTAATGAAAATCAAATGAATTTTCATTAGTATTTACTAATTATGATTTTAAATATAAATACGAAATTTTTGATTAGTAAAGAAGCTTATGCAACAAGGAACACTGTAAAACCAAAAAATAGTAAATCTATTACAAAACTAGGTGAACATATCTTCCAGCAAGTATCTAAGAATATTTCCTATAGTCAAGTAATGCTCTCTATGAGAAATTTCAAGGTGATGAAGGCATCCTTGTTAATATTACACAACCCTCACATCTCAGATTTTTGTTTAGGCAATATTACCTTTATGTATAATGTTCAACAAACCATGTTGAATCATGAAGAGGGTTGAACAAGCCATGAACCAAAAAAGAGGTAAAATCTATTTCGAAAACTGAATAAAATCTCTTCCAACTTCTTCTAAGAAAATCAGGTCTCACTTCTCAGAGTTGCGTTGACTCTTTTCAGGGCAATTGGGTTCTCTAAAGCCATACAACAAATAAACAAAAATAGCATGTATCTCAATATTTTCAATGAACATATTAATTCTTCTTTTAAAGTATGTGATCTTAAAAAGTAAATTATCTAAATTCTCAATATGTACAGGGAGTAATGGAACGAGTGCCTTCATGGACACTTCCATTCTGAAATAAAATGGATCTTTAGTGTGTAAAATATTTCCAATTCATGTTGTGTGGATTTTCATAGACCACAAGATACTTGCACAGATATAAAGGAAGAATCCTGACCAATGTGCCATCTACTTGTGGCCCCTGTGGACTGCTCTTAGCTGTTTTTATCTACTTACCAATACACACGGTACTATACAAATCTTTGGGTTTGAATCTTTTTTTTTTTTTTTTCCTCCTGGAGTCCCCAGTGTTCTCAGAGTGCCAAAACATTAGTTAGCTGAGTGAGATCATCCATCTAGTTGTATAAAGGCTTAGGTAATAGGGAGCCTGGTCAGTCAGGTAGAAAGGGAAATGGAGGAAATGAGGTTGGAGAAGTAAATAAGATGCAAATTATCTGTATGTGTGGCCTTTAGTTTTAGGGGAAATAGTAATCTAATCAGTTGTGTGAATTTTTAGGAAAGCTAACTCTATTTTCAATTCAATATAGCACACTGAGCAAATAAATAGACTTCCTTTCCATCCAAAATCTCACTAAACGATATTGCAAATATAAGCAAAATATAAGCAAATATAAGCAAAAAGTAATGAAATCATAACAATACTAAAAACAAAAAAACAATATAACGGTAAAAAGGAAATTTAAGTACTTTCTGATGGGCAGAGAGATCATATTTATAGAGAGACTAGGGTGGTAATGGGGTAGGGACATTATCAGTTTCATGAAAAAGCCCTTCACAGAATAGCTGGGCCTGCCAGTCTCCCTGTTTCTAACTAATGCCATGAAAACTGATTTTAAAACGAAGTTAAATAATAGCCTTTGGGAAGCCCCTGATGGAGTATTTGGTCTGATTTAAAGAAGCCCACTCTATCTTATCTTGAATCTTTGTCACAAACCCAATAAGAAAACATCAGAAGTACCACCACCTGAAAAGTATTTAAATTCTCCATTTCCAGAAAAAAAACGTCCTGATTAATTTGGCATTTGTGAAGTGATATGAATATGGATGGCTAATCCTTAACAATGTCTGCTAAAGGGAGAACTTTCTGGCTATAAGACCTATCTAAATGCACCAATCCTAGAGTGTGCTCTCCCATGAAAAAATTTAACAAAACAGAACAACTTCTGAGTTTAAAAGATGAAGAAGAAAAAAAAAATGAAGAAGGAAAGAAAGAGAGAATAGATAATACTAATAATAACACCTTATACACTAGCTTCTTAAACTAATTCAAAGACATTTGGGTAAGCGGAACTATTAGCTAGGGATACTCCACTATTTGAGAAAAAAATAGCAAGAAAAAAAAAGCCTAACTCAACAAAGAGAACAACTCATGTCAGAAGAAATAAAAAATAATACAAGAAAAAGAATAAACATTAGAGCATAATTCATATGAGTATTTTTGAAATACTTAAGAGAATATTACTTTCATGCAATATAAATAACTTAATAGAAGCCATCAAATGAATCAGATACAATGAAAATGTTTTTT